GTTACTGCATGATAAAAAAAACCTGATTTGCTAGCCTGAGCAGCCAGTAAGACAGCTCCATCTCACCAGCTGCTCTTGCTACAGACTGAACATGCTGAATCAGGCAAACTGCCACTGACAAGGGCTGATTAGAACCAACTGTGCCAGGTCCTTAAATGCTGTGGACTGTGTGTGTGTTTATACATGAGAATTAATGAATAAATACTTTTGTGTCTTTTAAAAGAATCACACACACCTTTTCAGAGTATGTGTATATTTATACACAAAACATGGATGCATGCATGCAGACACATATGGACATACAAGACAGATTTGAACATGTATACATAAAAATCCATATTTTTATGGGCCCAGAAGCATACAAATCCTCAGAAATACTAGACTCATGGATGTTTTATGGGTGAAGAAGTTCTCACCAAAAAGTAGGACCTAAGCACTTTGTGTATACATGCTAAAACCCAATTTCCAGCTCAGAATAAGCTGAATACTTATGTGCTGATCTCAGGCCTTGACCACACTAATGGAGATAAATCTGTAAACACTGTTTATTGTTGAAAGTTTTCTGTGAACACTAGCATTTTCAGGACAAAAGTTTTGCTGCCCACATTGAGAAACAAAATGTGTAAATGTCCTCTTTCCTCCTCTTTTTTTCTTTGAAAACAACAAAAAGCCACAGTTACACTTTTGACAATCACTGTTCATAATGTAAACTCCTCTGTGATCATCAACATTCTGCTTCAGTAGGGCCAAGTGTTGACATATTTTCATAGGTGTCTATTGTCAGATGCATAAGCAGAAGTAGCATGGGTGCCTGGAGGCCGCTGACATAGGGCCACTACATTGACCATGAAGTTTCACTCTATTGACTGTTGTGAACACAAACAAACACCAGTAGTACATGACACTGCGTTAAATTGGGAAATTCAGCAGCCCTTATCAAATTAAACAGTCTCTTTGGTTTCAATGGTAAAGCACCACAAGATTGACAGTCACCAACAAACACACTAGATTCTAAGGAGGCACGTTTTAATAAACATAAATCATATGTAAGTAACACTTATATTTCAAACAAATGGCAAACTTATTAGCACATTTTAACAAAACTACCTTCCCCCTCATGCATCATGGGAATTCTGTGGGAGGGACGTAAGCTGCGTGTGCGCAGCGGTTTATTTACGGCGTCAAATTTCCACTAGAAGCCTGTCAGTGTTTCAGCAGCAGAGCGTGTAGCCTGCTCCATGTTATTTACTTGTTTTTAATTGTTCTTTTTGTGCTTCTACTACATTCTTCAAAGCTCTCTGTGGCTCAGTTTCGTTCCTCCTCTTGATGGGTGCATCTAGCAACTACCACAGGGAGCATTTCAGAATAAGAGCGTTTTGCCTGCCAGATTTTGCCGACATGTTTAGATTTTGTTGATTTGGTGATTCGTGCTTGCTTTTTGTTCTTCTACGATGATTAAGTATGCTACGGAGTAAAAATGTTTCTTTTTTGTCTGATTTAGCTGTATTTATTGTTGATAAACGATCGGAAGTCTGTAAAGGGTATTTTATTTTGGAAATTTACCGAATTCTGTGCCGTTTCTGTGTCTTCCTGCCCGGTTCATCTGCTCTGTGCTGCTGGATGCTGGGATGCACTGCGGCGCTTCTGGTGTGAGCACAAACATTTAGTAGAATGGCTGTCAGCTCTGGCAGCAGCGAAGCAGACGGACTCAGTGGACTTTCGGAGTGAGTCCGGGGTCATGTAAACTTGGTTTAAATGGCCCAATCCCAATGTCCCCCCTAAGCCCTAAGCCCTGAACCCTTACAGACTTTACTGACGTCACTTGAGCGCAGGGGGCTGCAAGGGCTCAAAATGCTGTAAACAGGAACGGGACAGCACTTTGCCACATTATCACATTACCTTGACAACACTGAAACATGTTGCACACTTTTTATATTATGCTTTTGCCTGATTTAAGTCAGGTTCTTGTCCTACAGAGTGGAGGAGAGGTAAATGTCATCATATATATTTCTCAATAATCAATAGGCTACACTATTGTTGGTCAAAACAGCATCATTAAGAAAAAACTACAATAAATAGCATAAATGTGTAATAAGGTGACTGCATACCTCTGACTTCATGTGTTCTATGCACCATCTTAAGTTAAGAAAACTTTCAACAATATTAACATCAGCGTAGGTGTTGATTCTTGTTTGTTTACTGTTTTCTTCTTCTCTTATAACGCGGATTTGCCTTGATACTCCTCTCGCTTCCGGGCTTCCCCTGGTAACCCCCGCGTTTCACGTCATACCGCTATGAACTGTGGGCAATTCCCTCAGCCAAAGTCTGCAGAAATGCGGACTTACGAAAAGGGTCTATAAAGGGCTCAAAATGTCCGTGAGAGAGCCCTCGTGCACTTGACGATTTGACAGTGGGACAGCCTTAAGCCCTCACGGACTTCCCGGGAACGTGCCTCAAAGTCTGTGAGTCTGTGAGGGGGGACATTGGGATTGGGCCAATGACTCTGTAGCAGGTGGGCCCCGTGATGAAGCCCCGCCCCAACTGTGCTGAGAGTCTAGCTCCGCCCCATGTCAGATGGAGGACTACTAGTATAATGATGAATGAACTGTCATAACTACTGCCTAAGAAATTCCTTAGGTGCTGAATATAACTCTGAATTGAATAGGTTTTTCCTTTACCTCTGACAAAATAACAACAAAACAAAGTAACGTCAGTGTAAAAACCTGTTATAAGCATTCACAGTACAGTACACTGCTTTCCAGAAAAATGGCAAGTTTATTAAATGCATTTGTTCTTGAATTTAATATTTAAGAGTAATGCTTTCATTATGTATATGATAGGATTTTAGCGCCTTTTAAAAACAAAAAGTCAATTCATTTCTGAGGGGCGTTGGGTGCTTTAGACGTTGGCCTCGCATGGTCCTTCAGTGAGAGTAGATCAACAAAAAATTAACTTTACTGTTCACAAGAAGACTCTGAAAGCATAAGCTCAATGAATTACAGTGTTACTGTATCTCAGTATTTACTTCCTCTAAGAGTGATACAACGAGAGACTCTGAGCCACAGATTAATCATTATCCTTGGCTGTCAACTTCTCAGTGTACTACTCAAAGAACACTGAAATAGTTTCTTGATTGTAAACCAAGAGGTTGAAAACCCTCACTTTAAGCCTTGTAAGCCCTCCATGGGTATGACAGTTGTAGGCACCAGTCATTGTAAAATAATAGCAGCCCAACAAGGAAATCCATAAAAAAATTATTGGAAAAAGAAAGGTGCTAATTAAAAGTAATATAACAGGCTAACACATACAATTCTGAACACAAGACACAGTTTTTCTTTCTGTTGCACAGTAACCAAAAGTGACAACAAAATTATATAGATGTTATTTCAAGAAACCGCTTCACCCTCAAAACACTGAAAAATGCCAAGCAATGTCATCCAAATAACTATCCATGATTTTCAAAAGGAAAACAATAACTTATTTGGAAAAAAAACTCGTTGTCACTATGGATTTTGTGTAAGAACTGTACCACTTTGAGCTCACAGTATGATCCTCTGATCATTTCACTACAATGGGTTTTACATATAGCTCTTCCTACAACATTGCTCAGACACCAGCTATAGGGAATTTCATTATTAAAAGTGTTGTAAATGGATTTATCCATTTTTATTTAACAAGACCTGCTTTAGATACTACTAAAGGACATTTTCAGAAATACAGAGAGCATCTCAGAAACCAGCCCCTACTGTTGTCCACTGAGCTGCTTTGTTGGAGCAGTTGGTAGTTAAGTGCCTTGCTCAAGGGTGTATTTTCTCAGCATGGATTCCTCCAGCTATCTTGGAAATTGAACTATTAAATAAGCCTACTTCCTTCAGTCCAGTGCTGCCTTAGAACTAAATATCTTTTCAGCATTTGACATTAAACAATACAGATCTTCCACTAGTATGAAAGTATTTCACCTGCTTTGAGAGATTTTAAATCCTGTTGTTACCCTATGCCTTTTTACAGATGGTGCTAGTCCAAATACTGCCAAGCCCTTTCAGAAACAGAAGGCTAAGATAACATTACATGCATCTGACCAGATTATCTGTGAGGTTGTATTGACAGTGTGCATTTATGGAGGGCAGATGTAGGCAATGTGATTGGTAAATTCAGACCTCTTCAAGCTCACGAACCTGCTGTTGTGAGACAACATCATAATGTTTCTCAGTGTCAAGAATCAACTAAACAGCCATGTACAACTGTGACGCCTTAGTCGACCTGTCTCCATATATATATATATATATATATATATATAAAAAAACGTATGGCAATTAGAGCTTGAATTTGGTTTCCAAACTGTTTTTGTTTTTTTGTTTTGTTTTTTAACAAAGGTCTGTGAGATTATTGCCCCTGTCTGCATACTTTTGTATTTGTGTGTTTTAAGTTTAAGTTTGTTTAAGTTTGTGTGTGCGCATCCTTTTGGCAAGGCTGAAGAAAGAGCAAAAGAGAAACCGGGAGTGTCAACGAGTCAAATTTAAGTGAGAGACTGATTCCCCCGAAGCAAAGTCCTAATCGAGGCTGTGACTAGAATGACAAAATGTCCAACTTAACTCTAGCCGCATCATTCCCAGGAACACAACCATCAAACACAACCAGCACTTAATTAGCTTCTCACTTGCTGAATTCACCCAGCTATTCTCCACTGTGTGTGTGTGTGTGTGTGTGTGTGTGTGTGTGTGTGCGTCCTCAGCCCAAGGCTCTGTCTGAACACATTTCAGCAAATAGAATCCAATTTGTTTAACTTCTATTGAATACAAGTAGGGGGGATTGGCACACAGAGGCTGGTGACAGCGGACTGTGAACAGTGTGTGGGATTCTGTTAATCTACATGGCTCTATTGTGCTAGACAGGGTTACAAAATCCAGTGGCAGAGCACGTTATCCATTGTTCAGCATTTATATCTGATTTTGCAACTATAAACAAACAACGTGGTCAGCCAAGCTGTGCTCCAGGCCTACCTGTGTTACTTGGCATCTTGCCATTGCTGATCTGCTTGAGTCTCTTCTGGTGGGATTTGCCGTTGTAGTGGATCTGGGCCTGTGCCGCTGAGTTGAGTTGGATGTTGCAGACCTCACACAATGTGTAGCTCCGCTGCTTTCTCTCCCTTTTGGGTCTGTTGAGTGCAGAAGAGAGGGTGCCCCCTGGTGTCTGCTCATCTGGTACTGCACCCTCATTCTGGGTGTTGCAGCAAGGTTCGCCGTCCATCTGCACTCCTAGCCCGGCACCAAACTCTCTCCTGTCCAGCTCGGTGTTCAGCAGAGCTGATGGGCTGAACGGACGTTTCATACCTGTGACAGAAGAAAAGGACAGGATAAATACAAAGGGGAGGACGACATAGTGAACAGGAGGAAAGACCAATATCGCTTACAATATTGAGTACACATGACTGATGCTCCCTCCCTTTCTGAAGCGCCCCAGTGTTAGCTGTGTGTCCCCATGTCTCCTGTGAATGGAGGTGTCATTTTCCTCAGTCTGGCCTGACCTGGCTCACCCGGCATACAAAGCCACCCTGTTAAAACCTGATAGCGGCAGAGGACACACAGGCAAAAATACCCCTGATTCCTAAAGCTTTGAACAGGAGTGTGCGGAATCTGACCCTGTTCTTGTCTGATGTAAGTCATGCTTGTCAGCACCCTCACAACAAAGTGACACCTGCAGTGTACACACACACACACACAAAGACATCAGGAAACAAAAGACAGACTGGGCACAAATGTGTACATGATCACACTGTACAGCGGGAATCCCAATGGTGGTAGTTCTGGGGTGCAATGACGCACCACTTGAGGGAGACAGAGCGCTGCAGTGTGGCTCTCAGAGGCCCAGTGAGGCCCCTCTGTCAAGCAGCAGTTTCACTTGTGATGACTCCATGCCTGCTTGCTGTCTGCGCACCCCTGCAAGCCAAAATGCTGCAGCATTAGCTACGCTACAATCTCAGCCAAGCAGTGCCTGGATCAGATAGGCAAACAGGAAAACAACTGGGAGTAAATGGGCTTCTGAAACAGCTCTGATGAGGTTTGCTGACATTGAGGTTCAAATCTGAATGGCTGAATTACGGATGCAACAGCAACTGCATTAAATATAAAAGCACAATATGGAAGGTAAGATGACACGCTTCTCCCAGCTACGAATTTTGTACACTAGCTGTAAGTACTTGTGAAAACCTGACAGCTTGATATATGGGGGTTAACAGAAACCAGGATATCGAAAGAGACAAATGAGCAAAGTCACATTTCTGTCAAAAAAAGGCTGACGCTTAAAACACCTCAGTTTTTCCATGGAGGGATCTGTGGTCAGAGAAGAAGCCTTCACAGGATATACAGTCAGAGAGCAAGGAGCTGTTTGTTTCATATGCAACTGCTGTCTCTATAAATAAATGAAAAGGTAGGTCTACAGTAGCTCTGTGAATGATTGAGACATCACCATTGGAAAAGTTCGTGAAATACTCCCAGCTGTGCATTTCTGCTGCTGGCTTTTTGCCTCTGCCTCAAGTTATTTATATAAACAGCCAAACCGCTCAGACACAACACACACACACACACACACACACACACACACACACAGACCAAAGTAAAGTGGAGTCTATGATGTATACATACCTACATGCATGAAAAAACTCACACACCCAAATGCAGGTGTGTGTGTGTGTGTGTGTGTGTGTGTGTGTGTGTGTGTGTGTGTGTGTGTGTGTGTGTGTGTGTGTGTGCTTGAAAACACATTAGGGCAAACAGCCTCCATGAAAGCTGCTATTCACGTTGCCAATCTGGGAGCACTCAAGAGGCTCCATCAGATGTTTTCTCAAAAGCTTTGAGCAATGCAGCTCTCTGGCACTGAATGAAAAAAATCTCTATGGTCCTTAACCACGCAACCTCCTCATACTCCTGCCAAACTACTCAGCTAGCTGCCCCAAATTAGCATGGTTGTAAAAACAAAACCCTCAATGAAGACCTACAGAACGTAACACACATAGCATATTACATCCCTCTGCCCTCCTACACAACTTGCATTAAGAGGCAGTTCTTCATAGAAAAGAAAGCACTCGTATATGACTGACTATAAGACAATCTCAAAGATTGCTCATGTTTTTGAAGATAAAAAGCATGTCCATTGTCTTGCCTACAGTAGTGGATTTAAACTAATGCTTGCCGTTTTGTCAGTTTGCCTTCTGTTCAAATGGCATAAGCATGACCATGAACACATCAAAACAGTACACCCAGTAATGTATTAAATTTATCTGACTACATTCGGCTTTGGATGCCATTACTGGTTTTTGTTTTTGTGAAATTTGGTGTAAATGAAGTTTACCTTAGAGATTTGCCGGGTACACATAACACAAAAACTGGGCCAACTGCAGGGAGGAAAGTTTTTTTTTACCTGCTACACCGTCTGCATTTTGAATGTGAGTCGCATTATAGCAATATAGGAGAGAGACATTTCATATTTTCAATCTATTTGTGACAATATATTTTTTAACTAAATAACTCAAAAAGTGACACAAGCATTGTGTTATTTTGGGTTAATTCTGGTACAGTTTAGTTTTCATTTTAAAATGATTTCAACAGAATTTTACTATATGATGGGGTCCTATATGAACACAGTATTTTCTGCCTAAGTTGGAACCGTCTTATTTTCTTTCACATTTGAGGTCTCTGTTTTTCCTTATTCCCCTCTGGGCACGTAGTATTGTGCACCAATCAGGATTTAGCAACATTTGGATTGCATGACATTTTTTTGGTCACTGACAATTACATGTGATCAAACTACGCCCACACAAGCCGATGCAGCAGATCACTTGAGATTTTGATTGTTAAACTCCTAATAGGTAATTCCTAAAGATGCTTATTTAAGCCTGCAGACACTTGAAAGAGTTGTCCAGCTGTAGGTAGAAGCTGTGTGAGACTAGAGCTCGTGCTGTGGCTGCCACAGAGATCTGTAGGCTGACACTGGACCGTAGATTGTCAGGGGGTAACCCTGGGGGAGGAGAGGGAGGGCAGGAGGCTCTGCCAGCCTTGCCATGTCCTCTCTTTCTGCTGTCTGATGTGCCCCTCTGCCTACACCGCGGCGCACACCCTCCTTCCTCGGCACATGGGAAACATATATCACTGCTGTGATCCTGCTGAAAGACCGAGGCTCACCCAGCATAGCAGCTCAGCAATAAAAACTCTATTTATGATCTTGTGTCCACTGCTCACTGATCCTGAAATACTATAGCACTTTCCCCAGCTCAAACCAGCTCTAACCACTGGCCCACCACGACGAGTACCCCCACCCATCCACTGTTGCCGCAGTTGGCCTGGAGGCGTTGGTTCTTCCTGGTGCAGGCAGAACAGGCTGCCCTCCAGATGAGACAGTCCAAATATTTAGCAGCTCCTAAATCACACTGATAAGAGCGGGACACCAACAACAAGTGCAACCCGACGGACAAGTGGGCAAGACACAAGCACATGTGCACAATCCTCCACATACACACAGACATACATGTGAACAGTTACAGACACAATCGCAAACATAAGTTGCCCTTCTGTAAACAAGGAGCAAGCAATTCAGCAAACATGCACAAATAAACAGAGATATTTAGACTTGACTAAATTTATCCTCTGCTGCCCAGAGCACATGGACTAAACCTCAGCAATATAAACAAGCACAATCAACAAAAAATGAAATCTAATCAAGCCAAGCATCACAGCAGCCAGAACACACAGTTCACACATGTCCTGAATACACTGCCTCAGAGGAGATACAGATACACATGCATGAAGGAAAAGGTAATTTGAGGAAAAGAGTACTGAGTAAACAGCTGGATACAAAAATGTCAAACAAGTTAGCATTCTTCCCCACTGACATCTTGACGGTGAGGGCTGCAGGTGAGGACATTCTGTTTCCCTGTTTGACATGTATCAGATGGGTAAGGATCAAAACTTTCACAACAAGAGACATTGAGAAAAATATGAAAAACAGAGAGGGGAAAAAGAGAGAGAGAGAGACTCGTGATTCGAACACAAAGTGCTTGTATAATTGGCATTATCAAAGTATCATTACTGTCATCAGAGAACGGGCCAGAGGTCTTTGAAGTTCCATGTCTTTGTGTCCAGAGTATCAGTGTTGGTTATGTAAAGTCCAGGCTCGGTTCTAATGAGTGTAATTATACAGGACTCAGTTCTGTGCTTATTGAAAAAGAAGCTTCAACTATAGTGTGGCTACGACTTTCGAGTCGAAAGATAGGACCAAGTGTTTGCAGTCCTTGTCACCCCCAGCCTGAGCCCGAGAGTAAACAAAAAGCAGTGGCACATAAATTGATGTGTTTTCTCTAATCTATGTTTGCAGCAGTTCTTTGGCATCGCAGAGAGGGTATTTGTTCACAGTGTGTGTGTGTGTTTACTTGTGTGCATGTGTTTGCTTGTGCACGAGTGTGTGGCAGTGTGTCCTAGCAAAACAAATGGTTTTACTGGGGGAAGTTTATACAGCATTGCAGTGATCCTATCACTGAGGTTGAATTGCATTTGCGCGTGTACGCCTTTATGGTGTACGCATGTGCAGGTTACAGACATCGGACAGAGGGTATTACAAAAGATAGAAGAACAACAGTTTAGAGCAAATTAGAATCACTGCCCTGTGGTTATATGCCTCCACCAACCAGTCAAGTTGCAGTTTGCATCCATGTCTGTCCAGACTCATAATATACTGTATGTAGTGAATAAAAAGGTATAAAGTGTATTTTTGGCTACATGAAAGTTACCCCTATATTGATGATATAGATGATACTTCTATGCAAATATGGATTCTATAACTTCACAAAATGTGAAATCTGGAATGCCCAATTATCTAACCCCGAATTGCCCCTGGCGGCTTATCCGCCAGTGTGTGAATGTCAGTTTCTGTTTGAGCACTTAGGCTCAGTGTATAAATGTGTTTGACTGGTGAATGCAGATGTGGTGTAAAAGCACTTTGAGTGGTCGAAAAGACTAGAAAGGCGCTATACAAATACGGAGCATTTACATGACCTTGGCTTGACCAGCTGTGAAGTATGGTCACATCTCCCCTTCTGTTCCTGAACTATGGGGTTGAACAAAAAAAAGTTTTTTCCAAAACATTATGATGTCACAGTAAAGTTGACCTTTGACCTTTTGGGTAAAAAATGTCATCACTTCATTGTTGTATCACATTAAATATCTGTTTAAAATTTTAATTTAAAAGAGTTATGGCCAAAAAATTGTCAAGGTCATTCAGAGGTCACAGTGAACCTTTGAATAAAAAGTGTCACCAATTAATTGACCAACCAAATATGGAA